CCATTTCACTTTCAATGTTCTTTTCAATTTGATGAATTAGATTGAAAAGAGATGAAAAAAATTAAAATCACTCACTTGTTTTTTGTCCGGATGATTATTTTCTAGAAATCCAATATTTTTATCCTGTTCACGCAGTTGCTTTTGTAGCTTAACTACACGTTCTTCACGTTCACTTAACGGTATTTGAGCGCAATTCGAAACTATATTTTTGGATTTTTCAAAAAATTCATTTAGTTGACTCACTATTCGTTCCAATTCTTCATCGCTTTCAGCTGGAGAAAAGGAAGAATAAAAAACCAAATCAAAATAGCGAGAAAATTCAGTTTCATTTCAAAAATTTCAACATCTGCCATATTCTAGAAATGATCTTCCTTTCACTTTTTTTATTTTGTATTTACATATCTTTAGACTTTTCTCCATCTGGAACATATCAGATTAGTTGTCTTTCGATCAATACCTCATTGATTGTAAAGATCTGATAAATTGATACAAACAAGAAAGTCATAAAAATTAAAATTTTATGTAAAACAGAAGAATATTGTCCACTGACCTCCAATCAAGGTACCTTGTGCTGATAAGGAATTCAATGCGTCTGATATTCTGGTAACAATATCAGACCATATCTGGGTGAAGTTCTGAAATGAATCGTTCGCAAGTTGCAATTGAGGAGTAGAAATATCCAGATTGTGAATTCGATCCAATTCCGCATGCAATCCGCTTACTTCTATTTCCTTTTCTTTGATCTCCGTCAGCTTGTCCTGCAAAAAGAAGCATGCCATATATTTGGGCCTTAATTACAAGTGATACCATATTTGTTTCAAATTGTAGGACGAAGTTATTTCAGCTGAATAACTCTTCACTCAAAATAAGACTAATACAAAAGTGATGGGTCATAAATGCAACATACTTTTGGTTTTAGATTTTTCAAAAATTAAAATACCTGACAAGCCTGTATGATATTTTGGAGTTCATCTGGATTCCGAGTAATCTTGATTTGATATGTCCAATCAAGTAATGGCTGCAATTCCTCACCAACTCGATTGACATTTGCAATGAAAGCATCCACTGGTGAAATTACTGTACTGACAGAAAGAGTTGATGAGGAGGAAATCATCGGATCGATTGTTTCATGTGAAGTAAACTGTACAGTAGACTGAAAAAGAAAACGCCATAAATACATGTATGTCGTACTGATTTCAAGCACAGTTTAATAGACATTTCAACTTTAATAAAAGGACACAGTCAACAGCCTAATCAGACTTGGCTCAATTATCTCATTAATTTAGTACCGACTTGATAAAACTTGAAATTTCTTTTTGATGATTTGATGGGTGCAAGTTTTTTTTCTGCCTATAAAATGAGTTAATTTTAGAACATTACAATCTTGTGCATTCAACTCAACTAGATCTCATACTCTTATACTTTTCATAACTAATAACTAAAAGCTAATATGTATCACCTTAATGTATCCAAACTTAAAAGAATTGAGTAATTTTGCTAAAATCGACATTCATTTTCCATTTCATTCCAGATTTCACGAAATAAATTGTGTTGTCTGCAGATAAGCAGCTTAGTTTACTAAAGTTTCACATCTTACCAAACTTACCAAAGGCTCACTTTCCAGCTGACTGTCCACCTCTAGATGCTGTTTACTGGTCCCAGCAGCGCCATAATCCTCTTCATTGTCATCAGGTCGAAGCTGTCGTGCTTCTGCTTTTCCACTTCTTACTAACTAAATGAAGTTGGAAAAAGAAATGGCACTTCCTCAAATATATATTCTTTTCTGAAGAGCTAAAATCGCAATCCAAACGATTTAAAGAAGAGATGACATTTTTCTGGAAAAAACAGTTTTATTTTTAATTTAAATCTAAATACCGGAAAATAGCATAATTTTGACAGCTAAGAATTAAAATTAAAATTCAACTGAAGTGAATTTGTAACCCATTCACTTCAATTCCGGAAAAATAATTCAAAAGGAACGAACCATATGGGAATGGTCATCAATTCGAGCAACAATGTTATCCCAACGTTGGGTTACCGTTTCGATTTGTTGTCGAATTTGATTAGCATCTACTCTATTGGTACTGTCAAGTTTACCGATTAATTCAACGGCAAGTTGTGAAAGATGGACAAAATCAGGATGACCTTGCTGAAGGGCAGATTCGAATTTCTGTATTTGATACACTTGATCCACTATTTCGTTTTCCTCCTTCAATTCATTGACATCGCGCAGGCTTCCCATATCCTGTAGCACATGTCCATCCAAAGATGTAGTGAGCAAAGCGGATAATTTAGTAAAAACCCAATTTCGCTTAAATGCAACTTAATGAGTGGCAGAATTAATTAAAAGTTAAAATGAAGGTCAGAAACTTGATCGTGTAAAAGTTACAAATTTACGATGATTAATGAAACGATATTTACTATAAGTTATTACCCTAGGATTATGTATATTCAATTGTCAAGACGCAGACTTTGCCTTTCCGTTAGTAATAGGAAATTTCTGATTGGTTAAGAATAAATGTCACTCACTTATCCTTCTAATATTCCTAGTCTTCAATGACGTATTAGACAGGGCCAAACATGATGAAATACATTTTCCGAAACTTTAAGTTAGTTCCGGACACAGTGAGATGACATTTGAAGGGATGGTAATTGTGAATTGCAAAAAAAAAGAGAACAACCTGTCAAAACAGTTGGACAGTACTCGAATTTTATTCTTAAATGAAGAGCAAAACGTTTATGAACTATAGTAGAATATCTTTGCTTGGAAATATTCATCTGTACAAGAACACAAAAGCATAAATTCATTCATGCTTGAATTGATCTTGTTGACAAGTCTGCTATAGCCAATATCTGATCTCAGTTATGCTTGTTGATTTAAAGTCTACGACATTAGTCACCAGATAACAAAATCTTACATATTTTGTCTCTCTGTTTCAAATTACTTTTTCTTGGCAACAAGTATCTTATACAGACTATTTTATACGTATTCAAATAATAAGCACAGCTATTTACGTAATGTTTACCTAACAAAAGATGCGATAAGATATAAATGAAATCCTTAAAAATGACTTCTTACTGTTAATGGAAGCTATTTGTCAATCACTTTGTCAAGCAATAAAGATAAAAAGTAACTGTGTATCGTAAGGTATCAAAATGAGAATAAAAAGTAAATTTTGAATAAAACAAATGGAGAGACTTTGGAAAGATCGGAGAAATCAAAAACGAAATAGTTGGAAATTTCGAGAGAAAAAGTTGAGAAATGTGGAATAACGGTTCAACTCTTCTATCAATGCTTCCAAACCACGGAATGAGCTGTTTGAACAACAGATAGATAAAAGTAAATCAAAACATTCATTTACCTATCAGTCATCTTTTAGTTATAATAAAATAAAATGTTAATTTGCAAATATACTGCATTTAAGGATCGGAAACTTTCAATTATTTGATTTATTATTTTTGAATTCTTGAAATGTAACTGAAGGAATATGAAAGTACTACTCACTAATTAAAAGCGTGATAAATGCGAAATAAGGAGTAGTTAGGAGAGTGGATGAACTTTAAATGTTTAGAAGGAAGAAAGAAACATCGATAAATGTGAAATGAAAATGACACATACAGAGATGTAATACGTCATTAAACGCATCAATCATTGAATATTTTTTTTGAAACCATTATCTTTCCATTTTATTTTCAACTCCATTTATTTAATGATAATTGAAGTGCGAGCGATGAATTGTTGAGATAAGAATAAAAATTGAACCAGTAAAACGTCTTCTGGACAGTAATGACAAAAGAATGAATCAGTGACATCGAAAGTTGGCAAGTTTATAATAAAGTTGAAAAAATTAATGAGCATTCAGAATATTATCTCTCTTCGTCACAACTTATCAGTAGTTTCATTAGGAGTATTAATTAACATATAGAAGAGTGAGTGTATGTTTAGTCCTCTTTGATCTCTTACCAAAAAAATTTGAGATGTTAACCTTATTAGAAGACATGATAAGAACGGAATTCTTTCGAGCTTACCTCTTCCCAATTATCAAGCCATTCCAAAATCTTTCGATATGCGGAGTTGTATTGAACGACCAATTCCGATAAACCATTTAACTGTCGTTCGCGCATTTCAGCCCACTCACAGACGCTCATCCACCTGCAAAATTTGTCTAAGAAAACAATAATTTACAGTTAAACCTTTCAGCATAATGTTTCAAATCTGCAAAAACGATAAGGACTTTTTGTAATTTAAGAGAAGAATTTCAAAAATTTCAATCTTAAAAATTTTTTTTAAAAAAGTAAGCGACTTTTCTAACTTTGCCAATTTTTGGTCCCACTACTTCACTTCCTTAGAATTTGAGAAATGGAAAACTCCTCTATCAAAGTGGACATTTGAATGTTCTCTCAACAATTCTTTAACAAATTTTCAAGCATTCACCGAATGAAGTAAAAAAGAAAAAAACAATCTATCCAAACAAAAACTAAGAGAAAAATAACCTCTGTCCAACGGATTGCAATAATTTTTCCAAATTTTCGTATGAGAAATGAGAGTCTGATTCGTCTACTACAGCCACAAATGTTGATAAGCCGCGAACGATCTGTAATTATTATGGGACAATGTACTATCTCTATCTATCTCTCATATCACTTATTCGTGAAAGTTGAAGACAGTCCTCTATTCAAAATTCTTGATATTGAAATCTACGGAAAATTTGCAATACTTTATTGGAATGAATTCAAGGAAAACTGCCCAATGAAAAGACTTTTATCTTACGATAGGTGCACCAGATATTCATTGGTTTTGCTTCATCTACATTGGCTCTTCTTCATACTGTTCTTGATGCTGGCTCTTTTCAAAAAATATTCTTCAGTAAAGTTACCTATCTCCAGGATACCTTTATATTCACAATGAAATTCTGGTGAAGGTAATAGTTGAATTAGAGAAAGGGAGAAAGAAGAAGATTTTCTCATACTTTTCCTTATACTTAAAGATAATGCGAGAAAATAATTTAGAAAAGCTCAGATTCTTAAAATAATTTTTGGAAAAATTCAAATTAAAATTATCAAAAGTCAATAATAATAATAAATTAAAGATATCAAACAAAAAGGAAATTAAATGTTTTGAAATGAAAAAATTAGATGGAGACTATTTCATCAACAGAAATATGCATTGAATAAATGGCGTAATAAATGACATGTCGCTAAGAGTAGCTAAAAAGCGTTCCATTTAATTTCTCATTTTTCCCTTCTTAATTTCTCTTTTTACTAAACAAATTTTCTTAGCAAAAATTAAATAAAAATTTTAAAAATAAAAATTCCAAAATGAAAGTTTACCTCAACCAAACAATGTCACACAAATTATTCAACGATTGTTTTCGCAGGAAATTTCATTAGGCAAAGCAATAGAATAATAATTCAATCCAACAGAGAGTGGTTCACAAGAAAAAAAAAAATTACTCAAAAATGTTTCGTATTATCGATTTATCTCTCTTAGTGAAAGGAGCAATCAGTGATGGGCCAAGATGATAGTCAGGAATTGTGGTCTATCGCTAATAGTAAACTTCAAAGTTCAATAGTAGTGCAAAATGTCAAATTTAAAACATTTGAAAACGTTGCTAATCCATTCTTTCAAAAGTGAACTAAGTACAACGGAAAAACTGTACCTGTAGAGTTGAGGGGTAACTAAAATACCATTTCCCGACTGGAAAATGATCCAGCTCTAGCAAGGATACAGTGCCACTCAAGGAAGAAATATTACTTTCACCTGCAGAATTACAAGACTCTTTTTTTTTATCCGGAAGTTGAGTTTCTTGAACAGCGTTCAGTTAAAGCACATATTTGTTGTTATTGATGATGCGTTGAATATCAAAATGCATGAATCGAATTTTGAAATAGTCTGATGAAAGAAGTTAAGATTCAGTTCCTTTTACTCAAAACTTCATTTCATTACAAATCTAACGTTGCAGTCGTCAGAGGTCCAAAAAACTCAAGAATTCTATTCAACAGCGTTGGATTAGATTCCGACCCGAAACATCCCAGAATAAACAGAACTCGATAAGCAGAATATATTTGAGAACGAATAAATTCTCAAAAAAAAAACGATGTTACAATACACAGCGTAATGGAAATCAGGCCACTGATATTTATTGCCAAATAATTCCTTGCAACACAACCATAAACCAATTACTTTGAAGGAAATTGGAATGAGTACAGAAATTTAGCAGAACATGTTTCAAATCATTTTCAGAGAATATGTAACCAATGCACACATTCGGATGTGTGCATACATCTATACGACTAAAGGTTAGAAGGCAAGGGCCTAAACCACGCTTGTTCTGGAATCTTATTGACCAACACCATTCAATTAATTACCTTTCCTAAATTTACCACGCAGAATTTTCTCCATCTTACTCCTTTATCTTATAAACTATTTAGTTCAATGATCATTCTCATTGTTTTTTACCCCTTCAATAACCAATTAACGGTAAATTATACGAAATGTGTTAAATGCGAATATTCGACGGTTATTTTCCAAACAGTTCCCCCCTTTATTTACCTTTAATTCTCTCATTAGCGCTAATTATAGCTGTAATTGACGCAGGAATATGTACAATACATATTTGACAACTGAGAAACGATTCCAAGCATTTTAAAATTACTGAATCTTTACTATCCAGTGAGAGAATAACTTACCGTAATTTTTTATTCCTCATTTATTTTCTAATCTTGCCTACTTCTATTTGACCGGTGTAGGACCGATGGATTTGAAATTATTGAACTCACCTTTTGTTCATTTTCGATGCGCTCTTGAATTGCTGCATGGGCATTGATTAATTGTTCAATTTCATTTTGATTCATTGTTAACGGCGACGCATTTTGTATTTCTTCCTCTATACCATCTAACCATTTCCTAAAAATAAAATCATTCCTTTTCGAAAATTGAAAATATTTCATTGGAAGATGGAAATGAGCAGGAAACCATTAGATTATTACGAAATATTATAGTGCAAACCTTACTGCAACTTATGCAATAAGAAAAGTCAATTAGTTGGAAAAGTAAATAAAATCTGAAAATTTCATTTATATTTCAGATTATCCCACTAAACAGATGACATTTAGTAAAGTCGTGGGACTTCCACCGATAAACCATCAACTTTCTCGCTTGGAAACAATCCCAGTTGCTAGATCAATAAGTCTGACAAATTACCAAAAACTGTATTTTTTGGGAAACAAACAAAATTGTAACACGTGTAACAAGTGAATAAATTATTAATATAAGAAAGATGGCAGCGACAACGTTAAAACGTGATATGAACTTCCAGAAAAACCTATTTTCATATTTTTGTTTGTCAACATGTTGAACATCGATCACAAAGTAATGAAAGACTTTTTCAAGACAAAATTGTACGCAAATATAAAATACCATCAAAACTTTTGAAGGAAAAAGGAATAATAACCTGATTGATTCAAGCTGCTCGATTTGAGCTGTGTTCAAACAGTGCTGCAGTTGATTTTGTCGTGACATTGCAACTTCCCTAATTTGTTCCCATTTCGCATTTACCACTAATAATTGGGAGACAATTACGCTTGCCTCTTCTTCGTCCATTTTTTGTACCAGTTGCTGACCTCTTTAGTTTGAAAAAATATATATTTTTTAATTTTTCTAAAAAATATAAAGAGACAAGAAGCATTTCAAAAATTTCATCGTAAAAAGATAACTGTCGAGGAATTTTCAGAAGACTGTATAGAAATCATGTAGCAGAATAAGCATTATACATATCTTGTTCAATACATTATCATAAATTAATTAAAAGGTGGGTGGATTAAGCATTAAATCGTTTCAAAATGCTGATGTGCAACCGTATCCGGCTTGCGATAACGCCTCTGTAAACGACCGGAAAATTTTGTCGTCCTGTTAACTTATTTGTCGCATTTGTAGCAATTAATGAATATATTTGTTGTGTGTTTTCAAATTAAGAAAAATTTCGAAATTTCAGTGATAAAAAATGTGGCGCAGTTGTCAACAACAGACCTGTGCAGTACTCGACCAACACCATCTTGACTTTCGGTAAGTGATTGCATAAACATTTCATGCTCCTTGAATAAACTTTTCACTAGCTCCACCTTCAATGAAATTCTAAAGCTTATGAATTTCATTGAAATAATTACCACTTTTATACATTTATTTTACTTGTCTTTCTTGCAATGGATGAAAAATAAGAAAATTAACCAATTAAAGTGGGAAAGATCACATTGGCCAAGTCTCAGCCAAAGCATTGCTACTGATATTGCTGCCAAATTAAATTCTGAAAAGATATGTCAAAACTTGCATCATTTTTTTCAATGGATTTCATACAGTTAGCCTGTTCTTCAGCCTCGAGCAACCATGCCAGTACATGTTCCAGGCAATCTTGAAATTCAACAATCGTCTCCTCCATCACTTTACCCCGTCGCCGGGCCGATTTCTGGCTTGATACAGATGATTTGCGTGACTGTGTCTCGATGTTCTCAAAAAAATATTCAGTCTTAATTTGCTTTGTCAAAAATTAGAATTATTGATTATTGGCTGTATGCAAATTATAGAAAAACTCAAAAGTGCAAGAATTACGGCAAGATAGAATATATGATAGACCGTATAGGAAGGAAAGAATTCTCAAACAAACACACTAAAATCTCTAATAAAATGGAAGATGAAATGCCATGTGATATACTGCATTTCGAGAGAGAAGAGTGAAGAGCGGGAAAGGAAGTGCATATGAGAATTGCTGGCGCAATTATCTCAAGAGCGCTCGAACCATTCCGGTCTATTCTGCTTTATTCTTCCACATGATAATACCATTGGATAAACAATCAACTTTCATTTTCATTTCTATTTGTAGTTATCACGAATTTGATTCCGAGTTTTAAATTTTCATTTTGCATCATCTCATATCATTTTCATAATAATTTGTGCAATTTCACTTGCTCTTTCATGACATCAAACTGAGCACATGGACTTTCCTGATGTCATCTTAAACTTTTACACTCAAAATCATCGATTTATGATCGCCACATAAACACAACAAGAAAGATTACAGAAAACAAGAAAACAAGTTCTGCATTTCAGCTTTTGTTGGCATTTGAAATCGATGATTATTTCCAAAAAAAAAGAAGTCATATTCTGAAAGTTTTTATGTTTAAATATATTTAAATTTTGAACTTAAATTAATTAAACGTTTCGAAAACACAATTTGCTGCTTCCAACTATTTTGATTTCTGTCCACAAGTGAATCTTTTTGAGCTGTTTCCTCTAGTTTATACTTCTTCTTCAAACGAAAGGTAGTCACTTGCGAAATTATAAATTTTCGAACGTTTTAATATAAGTCTTCCTGAGAAAACCTTCATCACACCGATTTTTTCTATAGAAATTTATTCCCTAAAATTCTATCCACAATTTCTGATGATCAACGCTCCTTCTAATCTTTGATTCCTTTTTAAATGACGACGAAGTTTTAGAGCAGCGAAATGAATGAATGAAGAAAATGGTTGCTGATTACAAATATCAGATTAGAGTTCTCGAGCAATATTCGTGGAACTACACATACAAGTTTTTTTTGTTTTTGGATATTTTTCTAATTTGAGGTTAGAAAACTAATCAAAAGAGACCAAGCAAGATTTAATTTTCCAGATTCAACTTTTCTTTCTTTCTTCTGAATTGCCATTGAAAAATAATAAATGAAATGTTCGTAGAATTGGTAATCAGGTTATTACCGGAAGATTGGCTTAATTATCAAAATTAGAGTAGATCTATTGAGATATTGACCTATAAAGCATCCTACATATAATGCTCGGCAAAAGCTCTGCAACCATATTCCAATCTGAATTTGAAGTATTGGAGGTAGAAGGAGACGTTTTCTGAATTTTGCATCAATGCCCCAGTTCTCCCGAGATATTCTCATTTTTCGTATAATTACATAAATATTTCTTTGATTTAGTGCGTGTAGACATAATGAATTTAAGAATTAATCAAACCAACTTCGTTAGTTTGCTGTGAATGCTTTCTAGATGACGGGACAGAAGAAGGTTGTTCGGGACTTTTCCATATCGGACATTCCATTTCAGCATAAACAGTATCTACCGGTGATGTTACTGAATCTACCGTAGACCGTGAATCGCTTTTTACAACATCTTTTTGGCTGGTTACCATCGATCCTTGAAGGTTTTTATAAGATTCCGATGATTCTACAGGTTGTTCAGATAGTTGTAGCTCAGGTTGAGGTTGAGACTCCGGTGATGGGACTTCAGTAGTCAATGAGAGGTAAAGTACCATCAAGTAACAAACAACACTTTTCTTATCTAAACGTTCGCTGGAAAAGTCTGAAAAATAACTGGTCATATCATAGAGTATCATCATCTTACATTGTTTTTTCCCTTCCTTAAATCTATTTCTTTCCAAGTTCTTTTTAACGATATTTCCGCATTCACATAAACTATGAAATAATTAATGAGTGAAAGGAAATACACAGAATGAAAGTATTTTTACTCGAGTAACAGCTAGAATTGAAGGAGTAATGGGACAGCATACATTAGAGTCAGGATGTGTCACATCTCTCCGCTTAATTACCAATCATATAAGAGGTAATTTATGGTAAAGTACTCCTCTTATTTCTAAGAGTTTTGAAAAGGCTGTAACCTCTATAGGCTGACAAATCTGAAAATTTCTTGCAGGTGAAAGAGAAGAAACCTTTTGGATGAAGAAGACGTGGAGTATTGATATGGCGTTCAGCTAGGCCCATTGCATGTTCAATGCGATCAACTGCCCGCATGTCACGTATCTGATTCATATTGAATAGATCTGGGCTAGAAAAAGACCAATGAAGGTGGAGATTAAGCACGTATATCTTGTGAAAGTCCTCACAGATATAAGTGTCTACTCCATAAAAACTCTTTCAGTCATTCACGTATCTTGTCCGAAGGATAACTCATTCTAAACTTGTCTTACTTTTTTGAGTTAACTGTCAACTTTCCAGCTATTGGTCCTTTATTTTATTAACTCTCACTTCAGTCACATTCAATGAGAGTTACACACTGCTTTAAGTTTCAAACTAAATGTGCCTCAAAATTCATTATCAGGAATTCTGATAGTACCATGAGATCTTAAACTATTGGAATTCTTCTCCCTCAATCTATTTATTTGAGTGCCTTTCTTGGACTTGCTCAAAATTGCATTATACATTCATTACCAAATGTTTGTGGAAAGATTAACTTATAAGACAATAAGATAGCATTTAAGGCGTAGCCGTCTCTCCAAGATGAAATGAAATCATTAATTTGCACTTCAAAACGTTGCGCTCGTTCGACACACCAATCTTTCAGTGCTTCGGCCATTTTCTGATCACGGACATCAACTGGAGCGAATCTGAATTCCGACAAAACTGTTCAGTTCAATTAATATACCAATCATGTGAATCAAAAATCTGCTTTGCTACCAAATGTTCCGATATTATTGAAGTATTAGTAAGGATGAGAAAGTTGAATTTTGATGAAAAATTTAAGATATTGGGATCTTCTTTCGTACTACAATGCGACATTCATCACAGGAGCTAAAAGTAATAAAATGGAATCTATTTACGCTACTTCTTACATTAATTAACAAAATTTCTAAGCAATAATTAAAACTGATAGAGGAAAGCAACAAGATAAAGGGAAAAATTGGTATAGTCACAGAAGGCAATAAAGTGAAGCTATGTGATCGCTCGAACTGTGGAAAAAGTAAATTTTAAATAATGAGGTCGAAGATAAGCTAGGAAGGGATGATGTATTCAATAGCTGTCTATCTTATCATCCTTGCTTAGCAGAATATAAATTTAAGTTCATAAATTTAGCTAAAATTCAAGCTTTCATATAATCGACGTACTGACCTCTTCCAAAAAATTTGTATAAGCTGCCAAACAGCGGAACATATGGCTCGAGGATTCCCATCAGCAAGTTCACTGATGCTTATCTGGTTGAATCGTTCATCATTATCGACAAGCCGAAGTGCATTTGATATATCCTGCACTCGAGAACCTGAGCTTATCTG